CTGTTTTTTGCATGACTGGTGGGAAGATGTCTAGATTCTTAAGAATTATATCTGGCTCCACACACTTTGCTTTGATCTTGCCCCGTCTCACTTCCATATCCTCAGTTTTGCCCTAGAGGAAGTGCTGCTCCTGAGGTGCTTGCAAAATTGGAAGTGCCTGGGGAAAAATCCACCCCTGGTTTATAAAGAAGTCACATTGAATAAGAGTACTTTCAGTCTTTCTCTTAAACAGCCTTCCAGCTAGAAAAACCATCCATTTACATTATGCCCTTAGTGTGTGTTTTAAGCATGATAAAGTTACTGGAATATATAAGATGACCTGTATTCTGTATGCAAAGGCATACCAAAACAGATGGCTTACTATACTCAACATTATAGGTGATGAGTGAAGTCTAAGGTAAATGGCAAAGGAATTACTTTGTCCATCTAATTTAAGACTCTCTTTTTATTAAGATAAAAATAGTTCTTTTAAGGATGTATTTTTTCAGTTTTGGATAGCTCGCAGGGTGAATTGCAAAGATTAATAATAGCCCCTGTGTTGAGAATCCAGTGTGTGATGAAGGTAGGCTCCTTCAGATGCCATTGATTCTGTGTCTATGCCAGAATGTTGCTGGGAGTAGAGAATCCCCTGTACAATCTTGCAGTGCCTTTGCTTGTTCACATATGAACACAGAAGAAGGTTGTGGTTGCAGTACAGTACTATACACACTTTGTTCAAGTAAACTGAATTCAACAGAATTTATTGCTATTTAAGTGTGCTTAGGCTTACTGACAGAGTGACCCTAAGGTGATTGTAGGGTGCTTTTTTACCCTAGAAGTCTGGCTCCAGCTGGTGGGGCAGAGAAAAGAAATGATCTAGAATCATTTGTCCCTTTCTCTCTCTCTCTCTCTTTTTTTTTTTTTTTTTTTTTGGCCTCAGAGAAAATAGTCTACACTAGCACAGTTTGTAGGATTGATCCTTGGATTTGTGAGGAAGAGGGGAAGGGCTCAGATCCTCTGAATCCAGAGTCACCCCAACCTGCTGTGAACATCCCATTTTGGTGCCTACTGTCCACAGACGTGGTGAAGAATCTATGGTCCTTAAAGTATATATAGACTACCACTCCCATCATGTCTCAGTGTTAGGTGGGAAATGCTGTCCGATAACAATTGGAAAATAACAGGTTTCCTAACCCTGTTGAAATGCTGGGTTGTCTATAGGTATCCTGGTGGTTCTTGGTTTAAAGGCTATCCTGCTATCATTCCTCTTGTCAGCGCTAGAATTGCTCTACAGTCATCCTTCTGTATCCACAGATTCAGCTATCCACTGTTTGAAAACATTAAAAAAAAATCTAAATTCCAAAAAGCAAATCTTGGTTTTGCCGTTTTATATAAGGGATACCATTTTACTATGCCATTGTATTGAATGTGACTTGAGCATCCACAGATTTTGGGATCCATGGAGGATCCTAGAACCAAACTTCAGCAGATACCAAGGGCCCATTGTATTAACATTTTTCCAAAGGTGTTTGTGCAAAACGAAGCATTAGTTTTTCTGAAAATGGAAGCTGCTTTCAATTATATAGTTCCATGTTTACCTAAAACTTTAAATAAACTATCTTGTGGCAATGAGTTTTACAGATTGATTTGAAAGTTTTTTTTTTTTTTAGATACATGATGATGATGATATCTATTTATATCCTGCCATTCTCCAAAAATTGGGATTCAGGGTGGCTTTAAGCCTTTGCAACACAGGAGCTAAAAACTATTCTGAATAATTACTAAGTAGAAACCAATGTAATTTCTTCTTTTGGCTCCTCCTTAGTCAATTTGACTAAACTAATTGTAAGAATATTATCACTTCCAAATGAATTACCCAACTTTGTAATAATACAGTCAAGAATACTTACCTCATTATGTCTGGAATATTGCTCATATTACATTTTAATTCATATGCAATGGCTGAAAAAAAGTCTCCAGACATGAGAAAATGTAGCATTTTCTACGTATTCCAAAATTAAATTGAATTAAATTAAATTAAATTAAAAATTCAAACCCATTCTTGTATACTTTTACTTAAATAATATACAAAAGAGATGACAAAATGAAGGACACATTGAATTAAGATCCATATGAAGATGAACCCCAAATTCTAAAAAGTGAGGTGCAAAATGCAATAAGAGAAATAGCAAAAAACAAATCACCAGAAACAGATGATATTCCAATTGAACTACTGCAATCCACATTGACAGAGCCAACTCTAGTGCTAACCAACATATGTCAATAGATATGGAAAACAAAACGATAGCCAGCAGATTGGAAGTGATCAATATACAGTGGTACCTCTACTTACGAAATTAATCCGTTCCACAGCC